ATATATGAAGTTAATTTCTATACAAATTGCGCGTTGAAAATTTTCCGAATGCGAGATAAAAAGCAATTAAAAAGCTTTCGAAAATTTCTCGCGTATTGCGCGATGGCGAATAAATTCATAGGTGATTTTCATTGTGAAATCGAAAGAGATAGAAATTAAGAGAGAAAAATTTAATAGTCGATTTTCACGAACTCAAAATAGCACGAGCTCGAAATGAACTCGATTCAGAAAACGGGAGAAGATAAATTTAATCATCGTTTAAGAAAATCGTTTAAGGTAAAAATTTCTATATTACACTCCTAATCATAACCTAATTATAATCTCTATAAGAATAAATTTAACAACTCTCGTGGAGGAAAGGAAATCCAAAAAAAAAAAAAAAATACTTCCCCATCGAAAATGCAGATTAACCGAAAGCGGCTGTTGAGATTCACCGTTGAGAGAAACGTTTCCAATAATTACCTGTTCGTAATTACCCAACTATGAGAGTTGGCTTAACATTGACGTATCGAAGTTGTCTCTCTGTTTATCGTGCAACCGAGACCCAGTCGTGGACTACAAGTTTTGATCATAAATGGGTAACGCTAATTATGTTGAATGGCATTAGTTCCCAGTCGCTGCGTGTGCCTCCACACACGCCTTCCACACGCGTGCACACCCACGCACACACCGAGGAAACGAGAATACAGTTTACAGTGTAACGAGCAGTTCGCACCTAATAATAGCAGACGTAATATCACCGGCATTATTACCCTTGCCAAAGTAGCTGCGTCGTTCTCGCCACTAAATCCGCGTTAACTTCGAAACGATCGAACTGAAGGACGAAGTTGACTGCGATCCACTGATATACCACTGTTATAAATAGGAATTCCTACCTCGTCGGAAAGAAGGAGTGGTTTTAAATTAATTATTTCAACTCGGTGAAAGTTGAGATCTGCCTTCGATTTTCCATCTCGTAATTTAACTACATATATATCCACTATAACATTATTATTTTTGTTAGAGTATCGTTAATTATATATTTTTAGTTCAAGTTTTTAAAGATGAAAGAGAATTTGTGAATAAACATTCTTAAGATATTGAGTGGAATTTTTGAACGAATTAGTAATTAGTATTTTTTTTTTTTTTTAGAAGGAGAGCAGCACGTGTTGTACTGTGCCGCTGCCTGTCTGACCGTACACGTTCCTTTTTCACTCGCCGCAGCTGCGTCCAAGTAGTTCGTACATTTGCTCGAAGTGGACGCAAGAAAAGAAATATAGAATTTCTGGTACGAGAAAGATCGTTTACAAGGGGGAAAGGATTTTTTAGAAGAACAATTATTAACGAGCAGTGCACAACGATATCTCTCGTACGATTCTAACTGAAAGGTTTCACACTCTTATCTCATCGAGCTCCTATCAATTCGCACGAACGTTCTAAACTTCGACCTCTGATCGATCTTCTGATTCGACCTCGTTACTTTTCTTCCACTGTACACCCAATTTCTTAATTCGAAATAAAAATATATCCTCCCCCGTATACATAAACATTCAAATATATGCTTCGTGGCGAGTTCGAACAATACACCTTTACTTTGAAAAATTACTTTTCATTTTGAGTCTCGAACAAATATTTTCTACGACGTCGAAATTGATAAATCTTCGAACACTTGCCTCGACAGCAACTTTCAACGTTTCTTGCTCGAAATATATCCCCAAATGATCACGCGTTAATCGATGAAGTCACGTTGAGAAGTTCATCACGAACGATTGCCAATAGGTAACGAGAAATTTGTATCATTTCTCGAATTATTCGGTTAGTTGGACGAAATACGAAGAAATGGAGAGGCGATGACACAACTGGCGAATCAGTGGCCAAAACGTTCGCCATTGGGCAATTCATTCCTGCACGTTTATCCTTTTGCTTCCATCCGGCAACAAAGCTTGTTTCTCTTACAAATTTTCGATCGTGACAACGAAGAAGCAACAAATTGGATTGTGCAATTTTGTGTCGTTCGAGTAGTTTCGAAATATATGATCCAGTCTTTCCTTCTGGTAAATATAAATATTTGCTAGATCCGTTTCAATGAGAAATTCTTTCTTGAAATCTCGACAGAAATCGAAGTATTTTCGAATATGTACAGATAATTGCAAACAAATTCTTAAAAAACGAACGAACTTCAAAAACTTAATTTTTGACGTATTTCTGTTCGAAATTTGAACAACTCTCCCTCAAACAGATATTCTTGAATCACAACAGGTGATTTTTAAAAAGTTTCACATCCGATTAAAAATCTTCTTTTCGCCGCTTTTGTCATAAAATTTTGCCAACATCTTAAAACCGATCATCGTTAACGTTTGCAAAAGTTGCGACGCGCATCTTTTTATGCGAAATCCGTTTCCCCTAACGAAATCACACACACACACGCTCCATGTAAATGAAACGCTGGACAACGCGGCGGTATTTATATTCTCATCATTTTAGCGTGTATGAATTGCTCGTTAACCGTGCCCGTTTTCCTCGTAAACGATTTCAACTCGCGCGTTCTCGGGCACAAAGAAGCATGTGCATACATGTGTTGACATCGTTCACGACTTAATTAACCCGGTTACAAACCGCGCCACGCCGTGGCGAGGAATTAACTCCGTTGCCCGTTCAAACGGATCTTTGGCCGAATTCGTTCAACGAATCCCTTCTGAAACCGACTCTCCGGATAAATCGAATTTGCGCGTGCATAAATACCTGAAAATATTCAAGGATGTTAGAACATCGTCGAAGCAAAGGGATATCGAAGCTCTTAAACTGTGACGACTGATAATTGATAAATTTTAAAGGGTGAATTTAAAATCAGTTTATAAAGCGTGGATACTTTGTATTAAATAATTTTTATAAGGGTTGGAATTGTAAAGGTGAAAAAAGGTGTTTTGATCGATTCTTCGAAATTTTGGGAAAATATTAATAAAGTAGAGAATTTTGATGAAATTTGAGATATAAATTTTTAAACAAATTTTCTCCCTCGAGATTCGTCTGAATTT